ATGAGTTAGAAAATGCCAGTCTTTTATGCTTCAATGCTAAAAAAAAAACAACCCAGAAAAACCCTTTCCCAGGTATACAAAATGAAAAAGCAGGATGTTTTCTCTATCAACTTCACAGCTTCATAGCTCGGAGTTTGTTTTGCCAAGATAATTGAAATATGTCTTTTTCTGTGGTACATAAATACAAGGGGAGTCAAGCCTCTGGGTTACCTTTTCATGAATGAAATTTTCTTCAAAATAAATTAGTTCAATGTTAATATTTCAGAAAGAAATCTATGTGGCTTACCAGTTATTCACGCTGGAAATCTAGAGATAAAAATCTGCCATCCCACAGTGTTTGCTAGATGGCCATATAAATATTATGAGTATTTCAAAAAGGAGTTTTCTTCAGATGCTAATATACGAGAGAAAGATGGAGGGAAAGATGTTCCCAAATTTACGCCCCCCCCCCCCCCCCCCCCCACAAAAAAGCAATGAAAATGGACAGAGTGGAAAAAAACAGATAGACAAAAAGATGTCCGGAAAGGAGATCAAGAACATAAAAAAGGATCTGATCTTGAGGAATACAAGAAATAAGGTGGCAGGAGGACATCAAAGAGCAGATGGATACAGCCTGAACACAGAAAACAGCTGATAAAACAGAGTGGAGGTCGTTGTTGGAGGGTTACATCCCGCAGTGGACTAACAATGCTTACAAAAAATGAAAAGAAAAGTATACATTTGAGTGCTTGCACATACGCACACACACACTCACACACACGCACACACACACACACACACACACACACACACACACACACACACACACACACGCACACACACACACACACACACACACGGAGTATTTTACGACTTACAGAATTAGAACTATCAAATTGTTGAAGGAACTTGTAGCTCTGATTGGCACCTATCTTTGATAACCGAAAAGGGTTGAGGTTACAAATAGTGACAACTGGGAATTCCATGACGGGGTTGCAATGTACGCTGGTCTGCGTGGTCGTTGGGTTGTGGAGAAAGTCCTTTATCGTCTGGCTAAGGTTGAATGTAGCTAGACACGCCCCTATCAGGACTAGCGCTGCCCACAAGGGACGCTTCCATTTGCTCTCACTGGACACGGCACGCTGAAGGCCGTGCATGCTGGTGGACTCGCTGAACTCTTAGAAAAAAGTCCCATTCTGCTATGCTACACAGTTTTTCTCCGAGCTTTAAGTTTTATCTAAAAACAAAGTTCTAGTTTAGAAGGTGGGTTTCTCGGGCTGTTTTATTTTCTTAACCTGTCTGATAACATATCTTTTGTTCCTTAGGCATACAATAAAAGCTGCATTGTACGTGCATTTTGCTGTGTTCAGCTATACATCAGTCAATAACAACGACGTTCATCACTTAGGGGCAAGTTAATCTATATGGCATGGCGTTGTTGATTAAATTCCTTCTTGCCCACAAATGCTCTCAATGTAGTCAAGAAACTCACCCTTATACTCTGAAATGTACCTTTACGTACATTTTTTTTTATCATTGTGCTTTGGACATCCTCACAAACGAAGCCATAGAGGGTTTAACCGACTAACCATTATGTTTAGTAAACGATAAGCGCACCACTTTTGGTAAGCAAATGACGCTGTTGTCTGTAGCGAGCTTTGGCGTTCGTGGTCATTACAAGCTGCTTGCTACAGGGTGTCTAAAATAAAGTACCCACTCTTTTTTAAAAAAAGGGGGGGGGGGAGCGGAAAAAAAAAAAAAGTATTTCTAAACTATGCGTATACTATTTATAATTTAAGTTTGCTTTGACACCAAACACAACAATCAATGACATACATCTGAAGATACTGATTTATTCGTAAATGGGGATCAAAATTATGCGTTTTCAGAGATTTACGCACAAAAAAATAATGGGTGTTCTATTGGAAACTCACAGCTTCATATCCGCAATGTGCGAAAGAATAACCAATGCAGAAATTACCAATGCATTCGAGAAAAAACCAATATTATGGACCACTGCTGTTAATGCTATGTTCCATGTTGACTTCTCTGACGTTTAACACGTCGCCATTGTGGACTGAAAAAAATCGTCTACTTAAACAAAGTATGACCAGTGTGGCACATCATTACTCTATGTAATTCTGTGGCCATAGATCATCAACCAGAATTGTATATTGTTCACAATGTCGCTATTTTTATGAACAGGATAGAGTAATACATGTGCTATAAGTGGATGGGATTAAGTCATAAAAACACATTTCTTTAAAGACGACTTACTTTTCCTCTGGTATCCTTAGGATGTCGAGGGGAGGTGCAAGTTTCGGTCCTATGCTAGGTGTGTAGCGTCTGTGATAGATATGTTATGTTGTTCCAGGACCTTTTTAACCCCATCCAGCCTGGTATTTCTTGGTCTTCCTCTTGATTTGAAGCCGGATTCGAAGGTGTTGTAAGCTCTTGCCGCTAGTTATTTCTGGAGCATCCTGGTTAGATGAACAAACCATTTGACTCTTTGACGCTCTGTGAATTTTATTACTGGTTGTATTCCAGTTTGTACACCTATGGTTTCATTTCTAATGCGGTCTCTTCTGGTGACGTTGATAGTTTTGCGGAGACACCTCATTTCGCATGCATTGACTTTTCTTACTTGTGCCTTGTAGAGCTGGGTCGCGAGCGCGAGAACGGAACTGATTCGCCACTCTTGCCTCGGAACGCGATTCGTGATTCACTTTCCGATTCCCGATTCAGTCCCCTGTCGCTGTCACCACCGTGTGGCTTGTTTGTAACCTACTGCTGGGTCGCTAGCCGAGTCATGAGCGCAAGAACAGAACGGAACACTTAGTATGGCTCCCCATATTTTACAAAGGATGGTATAGTCCAACCCCCATGTTAAAACAAAATACACGGGTTCCAACCAATAGACAGCAGGAATTTTATGGAGCCATTGTTTAAGCGAATCATGGGGTTGGGGGGTGTTAATGGGGGTCGCTAATTGAGGTAAGTAGAAAGAGCAGCGCAACGAAGAGTGGGGGGCTGAGAGGATGGCGGGACAACAAGAGTGGGACTCGCGCTCGCCAATTAGCGTTGATATGGCACCGTTCCGTTTCAGTCAGTGTTCCGCCGCAGTTCCGCGAGCGCTCGCAAACTCGCGATTCTTTGAAGCCGACTGAATCGCGAATCGCAATTCCCAGATTTGGCGAGCAGGATCCAGCTCTAGTCCATAGTGCCTTGTTTAAAGACCATGTTTGGCACTGGTATGTTAATGTTGGTATTATGATGATATTTATGAGCTGAGATTTCACTCCGGTAGGGATGTTCTTGTGACTGAACAGGGTGCTAGCTGGCAGGTCACTGCATTTGCCTTCATAGTTCTTTTTCCTATTTCTTGGTCCATACGCCTGTCTCGTTTGAAGATGTTTCCCAAATGTGTAAATTCCTCTACTTGTTGGAGCTGTGTTCCATCAATTAGAATGCTGAGTTTCCCTGGGTCTCTGTTGACCTTCATAACTTTTCTTTTTGAGATGGAGATATCCATGTTCAGGTGTTTACTTTCCTCATTTAGTTTTGTGGTGTGTTTTTGTAATTCCTCTTCATCTGTATTTAATATACTCTGGTCATCAGCAAATAGAAGCTCGTTCAGTTCATTGATGTTGTCATTAATAGCTGCTTTCGTGATCTTATCCATGTGAGTGATGAAGAGAAGAGGAGAGAGAACACACCCTTGTCTCACCCCCGACCTGATGGGGAACTAGTTCTGTTGATCTTACGGCACACAGGCTGTTTTGATAAAATGCCATGATGTTCTACTGCAATTGTCCATTTACACCTCTTAGACTTCCCAAAGTTGACATCTTTCTACCAGGTCAAACGCCTTTTCCTGATCCACGAAGACGATATTGAGGTTTTTGTCATGTGCAATGGCAGTCTCACACAATTGTCTTAATGCAAAAATGGCGTCAGTACTGCCCCTGCCTTTCTGAAGCCAAACGGGGATTCACTGAGTTGAGTCTCTGCGATTGGTCTCTTTCTCATTTCCAGTATCTTGGCAAACATTTTGCCCTCATGGCTGAGAAGGGATATTCCTCAGTAGGTTCCATAGTCTCTTTTGTTACCTGTCTTTTTTCCAAATTTTTAAAACTACAGTAAGCTAAAAAGGCACCAAATCCCCAAAACCGTCAAAATGGAAATCTATAGTGCACACAATATACAGGAAATGGCCATTCCAGTATACTCTGTCCAGTTGTTACATACCTTTAAATGACACACAGTTTAGCATAAAAAAATCTTCGGTCTCAGGGCGGTAAAATCAGGTACTCGCCAATCTTTGAGCACGTGAAGTTAATTGTAGCATTTTAAAGTATGTTTATTGGTCTTGCTCTGGAGGGGGAAAAACATTTATCTTGAATTGACGTCGAGGCTATTTGTTACTAAAGTCTAGCCGTTGCTGCCCAAATTTGCCAAAGCCAGCACACAGCCTTCAGCAGTGAATACCCGATTTGGCTTCAAGAACGCGCCACCCGGGAATACAACGCGCAAAATGGCTGCTCCTTTCAGGAAGCCTACAAGACTGTGTGCCCGCCAGTCGTGACCCTGGTCCCCGGTCGGTCATATGCGAAGGCAGTCCGGCCAGTTACGAGGTCACCCAGTACTTTTACTGCCGACCTCACACAGCCCACGTTCATTAGGCAAAACTCAGCACCATAAGCAAAGATGGTCCAATCTACCCCTGTAGGTAAGATAATTATGATGAGAAACATAATCCAATCTACCCCTGTAGGTAAGATATGATGAGAAACATAATCGGTTTGGTATTTCACCCCGTACACACATACACACACATGCACACACGCACGCACACACACACACACACACACACACACACACACACACACACACACACACACACACACACACAAACATGCACTGACACGCAGGCTTACAGTCACATGTATAATATAACTGAACAGTAATATAAACAACAATATCGTTAAGTGTTCTCATTGTAACTCAATGTTATTCAGATGCATGCTCTAAGGTCATATGAATACGTTTAACAAGATGGTTAAGATGGATGAATTTTGATGGATGTTGGTAAAAGTGACCTTCTGTATCTTTCTTGGTTACAGATCAGAAGCCTAGGTGAACACACCCGGTCGCCACTGAGTAGCGCCAAGTAATCTTTGATGTGCCACTCGCCTACCTCTGCGGGGTTCAAGGAGAGGACGGGGTGGACTCTTCCTTCACCCCTTGTTCTTCCCTTCTTCACGCCCCACCCCTCTGAAGTTGAAGTAATCCCCCCCCTCCCCATCCCACCCCCTCTTTTCAGCACCTCTCCCCCAGCTTCTCCATCTGCTCCACCTTCCTACCCTCCAAGAGACACACCCTCCCTGTGGAGGATGACACCTCCGATCATCCTCCCCAGTCTACCTCCGGGAAGGTCGGAGCCTGTCACTTTAATTTAATAATGCACCTGCAATGGAATGCCGGATCACTCCAACCTTCCATTGCAGAATTACAGCACTTACTCGCAGGCCACACCGTGCCCATTTATGGCCTGTATCCAGGAGAGAAAGTTCACCCCGGCTTTAACCATAGACCTGGGAGGATTTACTGTGCATCATCACATTTACACTGTGAACCAGATTGATTACGGTGAAACAATCTACATTGACAATAACATACTCGACAAACAATCCAGACAATAGCCCTGCACATACCAATCACGAGCTGCTCCGTTAGTATTCTACCAAATTACCCTCTCAAAATTACCCAACTGTATGGCTTAAAGTACCAACTCCTCAAATCCTTTTTTATCTGGGGATTTTAACACACATACCCCCCCCCCCCTTTGGGGAGAAAAAAGCCACAGACAATAAAGGTAAATTCATAGAAGATTACTTATTTCAAAACAACACCAGCCTTTTGAATGATAGGTTCCCCCCTTCAGAAACAGATCAAAATTTGGGACTCCATCCCATGGCCTCACCTTTTGTACCCCTGAGCTGGTTCTAGGTCGTGAGTGGTGTGTGCTGAATAATCGCTTAGACCATGTCCAAATAGTTCTTTAAAATCATTTTTTAAACAATCGCCCCAAAAACCACCCGATCACAGTGTCCTTCAATAAAATGAAAGCGCACTGGGACGGGTTCAACATTAAATGCTCCCAGATTTTAAATCCCACCATCAGCCTCAACTACAAGAAATTTCACAAAAACGTATTTAGAAATATGTCACGAATACATACCCAAAAACATTTCCAAAACCTCAGAAGAATAAGGTGTGGTTTATGGGGAGTGTTATGATGCCATAAAGAAAAAGAAAGAAGCATAATTTATTGAACAGCCATCGACAACAACACTGCAGAAAACAAAATTAAATATCTAAAAGCTCCAACAAAAGACAATCTTTCCGAAAATACATATCCAAAACCAACAGTCAGACGCCAATCACCAAACATTCAAAATAGTTAACCACTTTTTGGGTAAGCGCACAGACATCGTCCAGCATAGAGACATGGCGGGTGGCGCCACAGCAGAAACACAGACAGACATCGCAAACACCATAGCTACATCTCTTTAAAAATACTCACAAAAAACAAATAAAGACTGAACTTTCCAAAACATCATAATCAACAGAGAAAAACAACACCTAAACATTCATTCGAACAAAACAGAAGTCTACAACGTAGACTTAACATTAGACGAACTAACATTATGCATCTCGGACCTGTGCAATACATATCACTAGCCAAATCATTAGACACGTACCTATAGAAACACTTACACTTCTTCTTAACATGTACAATGGCATTACACATTTGCACACTTTTCATGACTATTCCTGGCGAGTTGTCACTTCCATTCTAATTCAAAACACAAACAAGACCACTCACAAAAACCCAACTACATACAAATTGCCTTAACGTATAGAAAGACATAACTAACAGGTGACTCATGTGGTTTCTGGAGACGACGAGCTCGCTGGGTGGTCTCCACTACGGATTCTGGATCACCTGGTCCACCAGGAGACTTTATACGCAAGGCCTTTGCGAAGGAGGCCACATGATCACTACCTTTTCTGAGGTTTCAACACAACCTGGGAGTACCGTATTCTTTGAGGCCCACACGATCACCTCCCTATTTCCATTGCCTATTTTCTCAAGAACCATTCTATCCTGCTTAGAGTCAGATATTCCCTTTCAGATCTCCATAAACAGAAGGAAGGTGTTTCCCCAGGGAAGCATCCTTTCTCCTTTCCTGTTGGAAAACAAATTTTTATAATTCAGGCCTTCCAAAACAAGATAGAAAGCTCGTTATATGTTGATGTCTTTCTGATATTCTGCCTATCAAAACATCCTCCAGTAAAAAGCTTTAAACGTCTAAAAACATGATCTCATCCGGAGTGAAGAGGGGACTCAAAACACCACCACCTTTACTGTCCCCTTCCCTGATCAAAGCTATACTACAGCTGTCAAGTTTATGGATCCGCAAGACCCCACATCTTGAAAATGCTTGACCCCGTACAAAACCAAGGGCTCCACGCCCTAAGGGTTTTCCCCACTTCCCCATCCATGTGGCCTAATGTAGTTGCGAGCACTGTTAAACTCTTACTACGAGTAACAAAAAAGACATTTCGGCTTTCAGGTGTCTATAATAATTTGTTTTCCTAAAAAAGAAAAGAAACTATGTAGACGTCCGCCTTTTAAAAAGTTCATTATTATTGTCCTTGTTGCTGCACGTGCACCTTGGCAGCTTGGGCGCCCTGAGACTTCCGGGTGCCCGCCCTGATCCCGGCGTCATAGGCCAGTTCCAGCCACTCCATGGCCGTCAGGATAGAGAAGCCCAGCCAGAGCCCCAGCTGACCGCCAATGTCCGAGAGGACTCGGTTCCAGTCGTAGGACGGCCGAGATTCCACATGCTTCTCCGTCAGGTCCTCGAAGTAGATGGCAACCCGAAGCATATTCTCCCTATAATAATTAATTATATTCTTGGCGTCTTGCATTGAAGTTCCAGGGGGTACAAAGACCCAGTTTTCGCTGGGCCAGAGAGCTGTAGAAAGAGCCACATCGTAGACGACCTCCTCGCAAGGAGGCAAACAACGGCCCAGGCAGTCCAGCTCTCCTTTTTCAAACGCATTGAGGACACGCTTCTTACAGAAAAATTGGTCAGTGTTTGTGGCGTTACAGTACGGGTTGGTTTCGTTGACCTCGTAGGTGTTGTATATTTCTGAAGGACATACGAAAAGTATATCACAGCAACCGCATTGGCGGACCACCTCTCGTATGTAGCACGTTTTCCGGCAGGCCTCTCCCGAGTAGCGGGTCCCGTCAGTTAATGAGTAGACATTCATGTCGACATTGTACTCATCTGCTAGCCCTATGCATGTGCTGTACGGGGGTGGAGCTCTACTCATCTCCGTCTGCGTATACAAAGGAGTGGTCTTTTAGAGAATTAGCTATATAATGGAAGTCTTTTATCTAATCTAACCCCCATTACAGTATAGATTCTGCACATTTACAAAACATGGTAACTTTCAAAGGAACTTTCAGGTAAAGAATTATAGAGTTGGGTTTTTTTGCAATGAAAAAGACGACTATTTGATAACGTCGTTGTAGTCTCAAGACAGCAAAGTGTCTGTCTATCATTGTCCGAACAAGTTACCTTAGGATCACTGTAAATGTTGACAGTCACAAAACTGCTGCCCGTTGGGGGCCACATTTCTTGGTTTTTAAGAGAGAGAGAGAGAGAGAGAGAGAGAGAGAGAGAGAGAGAGAGAGAGAGAGAAACTGCAACAACAATACAAACATGGATTATACAAGTATATTTTTGTAAACAGCTATAATAATCCATGTATTTATATCGGAGACGTCATGTATCGGTCGTGCGTCGTAATTTCGAGACGAAGAAGAAAGGGAGAAGGAATCAAAGAACATCAAGTTTTGTAGTCGATTACTCTTCCTGAGATAGTCGCTGATTTCGAGGCGCAAAAAAACATTGTGTGTTCTCTACTGTCGTGTTTAGATAGATCTGTGTGACAGACAGACAGACAGACAGACAGACAGACAGACAGACAGACAGACAGACAGACAGACAGACAGACTCAAAGAAGACAAAGACAGAGAGAGAGAGAGAGAGAGAGAGAGAGAGAGAGAGAGAGTGAAAGAGAGTGAGAGAGTGAGAGAAAGAGACAGACAGACAGACAGACAGACAGACAGAGAGAATCAAAGACAGACAAAGACGGAGAGAGAGTGAGAGAGAGAGATAGAGAGAGAGAGAGAGAGAGA